AGGAGGAGGAGGAGGAGGAGGAGGAGGAGGAGGAGGAGGAGGTGGTCAAGCTATTCTCCAATGTACCAGAAGGGAGGCAGGACAAGAAGCAATGGGTGGAAACTAACCAAGGAGAGAAGCAACCTAGAACTAAGGAGGAATTTCCTGACAGTTGGAACAATTAATCAGTGGGACAGTTTGACACCGGAAGTCGTGGATGCCCCAACACTGGAAGCCTTTAAGAAGAGATTTGCACAACCGTTTGTCTGAAGTGGTGTAGGGTTTCCTGTCCAAGCAGACGGTTGGAATAGAAGACCTCCAAGGTCACTTCCGACTCTGTTATTCCATTCGATTCAATTGCCCACCCCCCAGGCTGAAGCCCCACCTAGTGGGGAGATCTGGCTCCTGCCCACCTCATCCAGCACAGCCGGGCGAGGGGACTTGGCCAAGTGAGCCATCAAGTCCAGCCCATCCTCTCTGAAGCCTTCCCGCCCTTGGTGGACCCTCCCTCCGCTGGCAGACGCCCCCTCCCAGGGTGTCTTCCCAGGGCAGAGCCTGACTCTCTGACTCCTGGATTCCTAGACTGCCCCTCCCCGCTTTTGACCACTGAGAGATGTTTTTTTGCCCCTTCGAGGTCCTCCAGCAGGACGTTTCAGCCCTGAGATCCCTTCAGGCTCCGCCCACCGCCTGGACCTTGGCTGCATTGGGGGGAGGGGCAAGGGGAGCCCCCACAGCAGCAGCCTCACCTGTCCCCAGCTCCACCACCCCCTGCCCCCTTGCAAGCAGCCTCTCCTTCTGAGAGGGCCCTTTGACCCCCCTCCCCAGAGAGCCAGGGGGAGTTCAGAGCCCCTTCCAAATCAGTCTTACAACAGTTTACACCCGATAAGAAAAAAGGGGAGTCAGGACCATATTTTCACAATGACCTTTGCAGCATCTCCTGATCATGTGTTCAAAATTCAGATGCTTGGCAACTGACTCGTACTTATGACCGTTGCTCTACCTCAAGGTCACATGATCCCCTTTTGAGACCTTTTGACAAGCAATAGGAGAAGCCAGGTTCACTTAACGACCAGGTTACTCATTAATTACAGTGATTCACTTAACAGTTGTGGCAAGAAAGGTCATAAAAGCATTCCTGCACTTAAGAGCAGGAATGTTGGGCTCAATTGTACGTTGAGGACTAGCTGCTTGAAAAGGAAATAAGGCTGACTTCTTGCCCAAGGCAGGAAACACAAAATAACTGGGCTTAAAAGCTGGGGGTGGGAGTGGGGGGCGGAGGGTTGGGCTCCAAGGGGAGCCACCGTCTCTCTTGCCCGGAGAGTGAGAGGGAGGGGAACGTGGGGCTCAGCCTTGCCAAGCCAGAGCAAAAGGCCGGGGCTGCCCTCCAGCACACACCCCTTCTGGGTGGCGTCTGCAAAGACAGGGCAGCAGATCTCCGGACAGGAAGGGAAGGCAGGCGGACGGCTCCCCCTGCACAGCCACTGCTCAGGGCAGCCCCCGGGGCCCCCCTCCGTGTGGTAAGAGGCAGCCTGGGGGGGGGGGGCTGGGGGTTGCTGAAGGTGCGAATGCCCTTTGTCTCCGTTCCCCCGGGGGAGGGAGCAGCAGTGGCCGTGTTTCCTGCCCCAAAGGAAACCGACTTGGCACGGGGGCTTCTGCTTCCCGACTGCCTCGGCCCTTCTGGGCAGGGGGCTTCTGCTGCTCCTTTGGGGGTCTGGGGAGGGGTTGGAGGAAGAGTTCGGGGGAGAAATAAAGGGGGTGGGTTTGCCTCTCTCGAGGCTTCCATCTGGGAGCTCAGGGAACCCACAGAAAGGTTTCCCCTCTCCGGCCGTGCTGGCTCTGGGAGCGCTGCTCATCTCCAGGTCTCATCTCCAATGTCCCCCCTGTCCAAAGACATTTCCGTGGTCATGTGGGGGCATAATTATACACTGAGGCACACGGAACCCTGTCCCTTTCCCACCAAAGTGGTACCTATTCATCTACTCACATTGGCAGACTCTCGAACGGTTAGATGGGCAGGAACTGTGGCCAGGATGGGAGCTCAGCCCGTTGCACGAACCCAGTCTGGCAGCTCCGTGTCTTTAACTGCTGAGCCACAGCATTCCCCCCACCCACCCATAGGACACATAAATAGCATCCCTTTGTTTTGGCCTTTGGCCTCTGCTGCCCACCGGTCAGACTCCCCAGCAGGAAAGACAAGCAGAGGAATGAATCCCACTTCACCGCCAGGCTCCATGAACGGATCCTGCAAGTCGGAAAGAAGGAACTTTGCCTATTCCTTCCTCTGACCACTCAGCGAGGAGGAGGAGGAGGAGGAGGAAGAAAACAACTGGAATGGCCACTATTAAGATAGTTAATAGTTAATTGGAAAAGACGGTTCAAATCTGGTGAGAGGTTCCTGGGGCCTCTTGCAGGGTTCGGTGGCTTCCAGTAGAGCAGATCCGGAGGCAATCTGGAGATTCCTAGTTGTGGGTTCCGTGAATGGATACCCTGCCCCCCCCAGCCCCCTCTCCCCCCCACCCCTCGGCCATCGTGAACCCTGTAAGGATGGGGAGAAGCCGTGGTTATTGGCTGCCGCCTCCAAGACGAGATGACTGGCGCAGAGCCAGGGGAAAGAGGGTCAAACCCATTTATGAAAGGGATAGGATCGCTCCCCTCCCATTCGATGGGTGGCATTTGCTCACAGGGGTCCGGAACTGGGCCCAAACTGTCCTGGGAGCCTGTCAAGGGGAGGAGACAAAGCTAAGAGGAGGAGGAGGAGGAGGAGAGAAAGAAGAGGGATTTCCTGACAGTGGGAACAATTAATCAGTGGAACCGCTTGCCACCAGAAAGTGCTGTGGGTGCCCAACACTGGAAGCTTTTAAGAGGAGACTGGAGCGCCATTTGTCTGCAATGGCATAAGACGGTCTCCTGCCGTGGGCAGAGGGTTGGACTAGAAGACCTCCAGGGTCCCTCCCAGCTCTGTCATTCTCTCTAACCTCCGTGGCCCAGAATCTCTCTCTCTTTCTGGGCCATTGGTTTTGTCCGGAAAGAGGCTCCACTGGGGCTGGGAAGGGAGGGAGGGCCTGGCTTGATGCTTCAGGGCACCAGGGCTTCCCCCCTGCTGGTCAGCTGAATGCAGGCGCCTCTCTTCCTGGCAGTTAAACAGAGAGAGAGCTGACTAGCGGAGGGAGGGAGGGAGGGAGTGTGTGTGTCCTTGTGACCCAGGGCAAGAGCTCTTCTGCCTCCGCCTGCCCTCCAACAGGAAGAGCCAGGAGGGCCAGCAGGTGGAAGGTGGACTTCGGGCTATTTCGGGAAAGAGAGGAACGTGTAGTCCGAGAGCCAAGAAGAGCAGAGGGGGGAGCTTTGCAAACCTCCGTGAGCTGCACTGGCTACCTGTTGGTCTCCGGGTGCGCTTCGAGGTCCTACTTACCACTCACAAAGCGCTCCATGGTAGTGGATCTGG